TTCATGCTCATGTACAAACGAAGTGACAAGCTGGAAGTAGTGGGCTACTCGGATGCAGACTACGATGGCTGCATTGATACCCGAAAATCAACTTCTGGTTATATAGTTTTGCTAGCTGGTGGAGCTGTATCTTGGACAAGTGCAAAGCAAACTTTAATTGCTACCTCCACTATGGAAGCTGAATTTGTTTCTTGTTTTGAGGCTACATCGCATGGTGTGTGGTTGAAGAGTTTCATATCTGGGCTTAGAGTTGTGGACTCTATTTCTAGGCCATTAAAGATATATTGTGATAACTCAGTTGCTGTTTTCATGACTAATAATAATAAGAGTGGAAGTCGATGCAAACACATTGACACTAAATATCTATCCATAAGGGAACGTGTCAAAGATCAGAAGGTAGTCATTGAACACATTAGCACTGAGTTAATGATAGCTGATCCTTTAACTAAAGGCATGCCACCAAAGAAATTTCAGGATCATATAGTTCAGATGGGACTTGGTACCATGATGTAACTTTCATGAATTTATTTATTATGAAACTCTTATTCAGTTTGGTGTATTCTCAAACTTATTGTGCACATGAATGATTGTTTTGCGAAATACTATTTTATTTGGTTTAGTAATAAACATATGGTTTATTCATTAAGTTAAGAGCATATGTTTAGGAGATTTAATATAGTGTAATACATGGATGATAATACTTTATAGCAAAGGAATTATCTCCATGATTCATATATTTTATCTCTTATAAGGTTTGATAAGGGGTTAAATGGACCAAGTGGAAGAATGTTAGTTTTTTTCGTAAGTTATTAAGTATTTAATTAGTATTTTAATATTAATATTCAGTAAATAAAGTACACATTTTAAAGGGAAAATCTTTTCTGAATTGGTCCATTTATTAGATAAGGATTACCCACTATTCCCACTCAACTAAATCAGAGAAGATCAGTAACTTCTCCTCCATTATGGCGTTGCACGTTGGGAGTTCTTCGATGGGCAGAACTCAATAAATAGCAGCGGTTAGCTCTTGTTTTAGTCCTCCTGAGTCTGCTCCTCACTATCAGTATACACACCATCTAAATCTAGTGAAGAGAAGGGCTTGGAAGAGCAAAACAAGCAAAGGCAGTGAGCTGCATCATTCAAGGAAATGGCTGAAGGTATGTAATTCCATATATTGCTTCCGCTAATTATTATATTGATCTGAATGTGTCCAGAATATGTTTAACATGTTTAGATCAGCCTGTTCTTACATATTAATATGAATTTCCCCCAAAAAAATAACATTAAAAGAGAATCTAGAGAATTGTTGTTTTAACACAAAAGTTACAGGCAATAACTTTTCAAGAATTAACACCAAATTTTAATTTAAACAACAGTGTAGAACCCATAACTAATTTTTCATTTCTCTAGTTTAACTAAACAAGTTACAAAAATTTAAAACAAAGAATATAAAACTACGCATCCATGTTACCCTTTCCAAGTCGTTCAAACTCTTTGGGGGACTACACTCTTAAACCATATATTTTATTCAGATAGGCACGTAAACCATAATCAATAGAAAGAAGGCCTCCGGAATAACTTCGGGTGGAACCCCAAGTCTTAACATGTCGGTCGCTCGTCGAAAATGGAAAACCAAGTCAAGCATGTTATTGTCATCAAGGTGATGGGTCGTACTGGTTCCAAAGGGCAAGTGACTCATGTTCGGGTCAAGTTTATTGATGACACGAACAAGTTTATCAAGAGGAATGTTCGGGGTCAAGTTTATTGATGACACGAACAAGTTTATCAAGAGGAGTGTCAAGGGACCTACCAGATAGGGTGACATCCTTATTTTGCTCGAGTATGAGCGGAAAGCCAGATGGTTGCATTTATTTTATTAATCAATGTCACATTTCCTCCTTTTGTTTTGCCGGTTTTGTTGAACTCTGCCATGACCGTGTTGGATTTAGTTCTTTTTTTGTTTGGATGGACTTCAAGTCATGGCATTTCGTGGATTTAAGACTGTGTTTGTGATCATGATTATCTTTTTATTGCAAAAAAAGACATCACATTCAAATTAATAAGTTGGACTCAGAGAGACATATTCACAAACATGTAGAGCCCGTTTGGTAATAGCCAAATCGATTGTATTGGCTGATTCTGCTGAAGTTTTTGAAGTTCTGGTTGGTGTGGTTGTATTGACTGATTCTGCAGATTTGTGAAAAATAATAATTTAAAATACATTTTATTAATAAAATAAAGAAAAAATTATATGAAAAATAGCTAAAATAGCCCTCTATAGTAACTTCAGCCAATACAGCCAGAAAAGTAACTACGACCTTACTTTTTCTTATTATTACACAATTCAACCCGTAAAACCAAAAGTTATGTGTTTGGTGAAAAAGTCGGCTTATAAGCTTCAAAAACCTAAAATCATGGCCACCAAACGGGCACTACATATGCTACTAAATACAGAGTATTTTTATTTTTGGCAACTATTTGGATAACAAAAAAGATGTGTGACTAGCGGATGTTGGCAATTGGCTCTTTTCCTATAGTGGTGGTCGGTTAAATCATGGTTTCCTTCCCGAAAGCTTGAAAAATCAGCTTTTCTTCAATCCTCTCTTAGGAGTGTTTGGGTATGATTCTTAAAACTGCTTCTTTGAAAGAGCAGAAGAAGAAGTTGGAGTGTTTGGGTGAAAGTGCAGAAACACTTTTTGTGCTCTAATTTACTCCTAGAAGCAGTTTTTTTAGAGGTAGGGAGACCAGCTTCTGAAAACCGATTCTGAATCTGCTTCTGCTTTAAAAAAGAAACAAAAGCAGAATCAGTTCCAAACACCCCCTTATTCTTGTCATGACTTTTTTGTGTTTTCCTCGTTCCTTTTGCATAACGCAAGACTGTTAGTATAATCTACATTCGTGCGTGTTAGCAAATTGAGTCGCTATTAAGCGATTGTCCAACTCTATATTTCACCCCAGAATAGCCTATACTGTGTTTGACTTGGTCTTGTCACATTAATCATTATTAATTAAATAGTCTCCTCCAATTAAAAAAAGCAGTTAGGGGTCGGTTCGGTTGCTTCGGTTCGGTTTTGACCTAAAACCGAACACAGAACCAAAGTGAAATGTTTGGTTCGGATCGATTCAGTTTCTTTGATAAAAATATCCAACCACGGTTTGGTTGATTCGGTTGGTTTCGGTTTGGTTTCGGTTTGGTTTCGTTTTTTAAATCAAAAGTCCATGTATGAAAATAAGAGGAGGAACAATTGGCATGCAAATTTAGTAATTTAGTCTAATACGGAGTAATTGAAAACACATTAAAGTAGCAGACAACTAAATGAACACCACCATTCTCAAAAACATCGTTTTAACATGTAAAGTAGTAACCAAGCATGAGCTCCATTTTAAAACAACTAAAAGTAGGTAGTTAAGCTAATCTGCCATACAATATTAAAAAGTTGTACGAATTTCAGCATGAACAAGCAACAGGTAAAATTAACCAATTCACATTTAGTGAGTTATTATCATAAGTTCAATAGGTCTTCTGATTTGATGGTTTGGAGAATAAGACCATGCAAAGAAACTTTTTAGAACAAATCCACACAGCAAAACCATTTACTCATAGAGAGTTTACTGAATCTTATTGAACAACTATTTTTTCTCAAATGCGGTTAACGGATCTAATACGTAGTATATAAAATAGTAATCATAGTAGACCTCAAAAAAATTATAGATAACAATAACATCTTAATAATCTCAAATTGTAAAGGTGAAATGTTACCTTTATTTGAAAGTCTTCGATTGGGATCAACTTGTAATAGATCCAAAGATGTCAACAACTGATAGAGGAGTGAAAGCTGATGAAGAGAAGTTTAGTTTCTCATGAGCTCATCTCTCCTACACTAGATTCGAGAAGAAAATCGAAAGAAGTTCAGAACTCCGCTGCAAGCGGTGAACTGCATCTGCGAGATACTCTAAGCCTCTATCTCCTCTAAGGTGCAAAGCTCAAGTCTGCATAGTGTAAAAGTTAGAAGACCATAACTTGTTCAGCCACTAATTGAGCCCAATGTCGGACAAAAGCCCAAGTGTATAAAATAAAATACTTAGTTTTAATGTTTCGGTTTTTCGGTTCAATTCGGTTCTGGAGAGCCAAAACCGAAACCAAATAGAAATGGTTCGATTCGGTTTTCCCTTTCGATTTCGGTTTTTTCTCGATTCAGTTGTTTTTTGTTGCGGTTCGGTTATTTTTTGATTCAATTTTGGTTTTCGGTTTTCCGAACCTAGTCCTAAAAGCAGTCTCTTTCACACACAAAAAAAAAACTTTTAACTACAATGTTGTGTACGCTAAATTACAAATCTGAGAGTAGAAGTCAGGAGCTAATTATACAAATCTTTTAGTTATGCAAGAATGTAAACCTTTTAGTTAGGTAAACACCTTTTACCTTAGGTATGTTTGAGAGTTTGAAGAGAGGGAAAGATTTTGAAGGAAGGAGGGGGAAAGAGTTGGAAACTCTTCTTCTTGTTTGGGAGTATCAAGTTTGAAAAGACAAATGATTTGGAAGAACTATAATTAAAATCACTTCACATATATGACGAATTCAAATAATTGAGTTTATATTTATTTGAAATTGAGTTAAAATTGTCATTTAATTAGTTATCTTCAAAATCCTTCGATTTGGAGTAACTTTAAAATTGAGCATCCTTTTGGAGAATTAGAAAAGCCTCACGGGTAGCTCAGTTGGTCGAGTGGTGAGAAAATTGGACCAAGTGATCAAGGTTCAAAACTCGCAGCGGCCGTGTGAAGGTTACAGAACCTGAAATAAGGCTGGATCTCTGATGCGCACGTGTATAAGGCCTACTGCCGTTTTGACGACTGAGTCACCGTGATTAACTTCTCCACCATCCTGTCGGGTCGGGGTGGGGTGCATTTGGGTTGGGCATTCAATCTTTTTGGACCAAGAAAAGCCTTCAAAACCTTCCAAACAAAGGAAAGCCCATGACCCCTCTCAACCATCCCTCCCCTCCAAAACATAATTTTGGAGTTCACAAGTACTCGGAATGAGGATACATAATTTTGCCTTGTGAAGAGGAAGGGTTTACAACTTTATACAGTCCAGCCTTGGAACCTATCCCAGTTCTCAACTTCTCATCGCACTAAAATCCATTTGAAATGACCATTAATATGGACGATCACATAGAGAGGGTGCTCTGGACTGAACATCAAATTGCCAACCGAGTCTCCGGCCTCGCCTCTGAGATCACCCACCAGTTCTCTAGCGCCGCCGCCGCCCCGGTCTTCGTCGGTGTTGCCAACGGGGCATTTATCTTTCTTGCCGATCTTGTTAGGAAAATCAACTTCCCAATCACGGTTGATTCCATTCGGGTCGGCTCGTATGGTTCCGGTACAGTGTCCAGTGGCAAGCCCAATATTTATTCCGACTTGAAAATCGATGTTCAAGGAAAGCATGTGGTTTTGGTAAGCCACTAAGCCATTACTAACTTCTTGCGAAGTCAAAAATGTAGTTTCAGTGCATATTCCGTTGGGCTTGAGAAGGCATCATTTTGTAATGTCTGTTGAGTGCTAAGATTAAAATTATGAATTTGACTTTCTTTACTTTTCCTAGCTTAAACACACTCACTCATCTCTAAATTAACTAACAATCTGACTGAACAAGCTGAGTAACAATTTAAAATGACATAGTTTTCTTTAAAAAGAAAGATAATTTTGGGATACAACAAAAAGGTAAATGAATGAATAATTTAGGGACACATATTGTTTCAAATTAGAACATGACATTAGTGGGAATCAAGGCAAATATGCAAATATGTAAAGTGAGTTATTTATATTTGCACTTAAATGTCACTTACTCACTTATATAGGTTTTGCTGTTGTGGGACTTCATTCTGGAACAACAAGAGACTTAAATGTCACTCATATGATTCTTTGTTTGCTTACCTTATTTACTATTGTGATGGATTACAATTAAGGACTTCTCGCATGGGAGGTATTGAGAGATTGATAAATTTTGGGACTCTTCAGCTGTGGAGGAACTAAATCTTGTTCTGGAATACCTCCAGATTATTTAATGTTCTTTACTGTCCTACAAATATGCACTTTTGATTGTTTCTCTGGGAAATAGAACTAATTCACCTCATTAATCTTTATCTCACCATCATTGTTTCTCCGGGAAATAGAACTAATTCACCTCTTGAAAAAGAACTATTATTAACCATTTCTATTCTTCTTATGGATTGAGTGAATTATACTCTGCATAGAACACGAATTTACGTTTTAGTGTCAGTCTCAACGAATTTTTTCTATTCGAATTCGGTTCACACCAACAACCACAGGTAGAGGACATAGTGGACACAGGAAACACTTTATCATGCCTGATTGAGCATTTGAAAGCTAAAGGAGCATCCTCTATATCAGTCTGTGCCCTTCTTGATAAGACATCCAGACGGAAGGTCAATCTTGAGCTGGTGGGAGATGGCAAGTTTTACTGTGGTTTTCAGGTAAACATGAAATGGATTTTTTGCCTTCAAAGATGAAATTCTTTTTTTTGTGGCTGATAATGAGTCTTCATTTGGTTTCTTTATGACAGTGCCCAGATTATTTTGTAGTTGGATATGGTTTGGACTTCGCAGAACAGTACAGGAACCTGCCTTATATCGGGGTTTTGAAGCCTGAAATGTACAACAATGCTTGATTCATTCCATGTTTTAAGCAAAGCGCAGTATGATTTAGGAGATGTTAGACAGCTTTCTACTTATATTTATGCAACTACAGAAATCACCTTTTCCCCTATTAATAGGTAGTCCAATTTTCGTCAAGCTGCTTTACTGCAATATGTGTTTACTGTGCAGATGTATCAAGGAGCGTAACATCAGGTGTAAACTTTTTTTTTCGTTTTTTCAACCAAATTTCATGGAGGTGGTTGTAAATTTTCACCCACTAATCCAACCCAAACCGTTTGCACCCCTAAATACACCCACCTGTAGGGCTACGTTTGGATTGGATTAGGCAGATAATTTGACTCTTCCTTTTGATGGTTTATTTGATATTGTCAAGCAATGTGCGCTGTGTTGCCAGAAAAAGCCCCTGATGCAACCTGTGTTGAATCAGAAAGCCCTTGTTCGAGTAAGTGTGTACTCCAGAAAGAAACAAGAAGAGAATAGCAGTTCAGATAAAGTTGCAGTTCATTTCTTTGATGACATCTCAATGTAGTTTAAATACTGCTAAGTTACATGGAATGCAAGGAATAAGGGCACTACGTTAATAAACATGTAGTTTAAATACTGCTAAGTTACATTCAATAACTAACAAACTCCACTACGTTAATGCATGATAAAATCCTCAAAGTGCGCTGGTTGTTTCTTCGTGCGATCTGACCTGTGTGTGTTGACCAGGTCCTCTCTATTGTTACGCACACCCACTGCCCTTGTTGTATCACTCTCCCCTGCTTCAAAAGTGACCTTGTCCTCAAGGTTTAAGTTGGGAAACATTGCAGTAATTTCACCGACATCAATCCATGAGACGTCGACTTGCGAACTCCCCCGCCAGTGAACTAGTACTTGAGGCTCTTGATGACCATTGAGGAGAATGTGCCTGGTGCCACAAATGGTGATGGGAACATTGTTGGAATCATCAAGTAAATCTACTGGCAGAATGGGAGATGATGCTGGAGCCACCCCGCTGAAGGGCCGCAGTAGCGTGAAAAACCGGGTGAATATGGGACCCCGGAGGAAGATCCAGGCGGTAAGAGACCTGACCAATCCGTTCTAGCACTTTGAATGGCCCAAATTAGCATTTTGATAACTTATAAGAACGCCAATGGGCGATTGAGTTTTGGCGAAACGGTTGTAATTTGAGCAGAACAAAATCTCCAACTTGGAACACAACCTCACGACGATGTTTATTAGCGCTTTCTGTACCATACGATGTTGGGCTTGTTGAATGGACTCCCTCAAAAACTTGAGAATTTTATCCCTTTCGGTGAGTAAGGAATCAAGTGCTTGAATATTGGTAGAGTTGGAAGTGTAGCGGGGAATCACGGGAGGGGTGTGCCCTTAAAGAGCTTGGATAGGAGTCATCTGGACTCTTTCATTATAGCTTGTATTATAGCAAAATTCTTCCCAGCTCAAAAATTCAAACCAAGTGTTCGGCTTCTCCACTATGAATGCGCGTAGGTACTATGCTTCAACTTAGAACCAGAGTTCAAAGAGCTTTGCACAAAATTTGCTGAGAAAGAGAGGATCCCTATCAGAGTATCAGATATGATGACACTAGAGAATCCATGCAACTTAACGACAATATCAACAAATAAATGGGCTACGCGAATGGCATTGAACTTGGTAGGAAGAGCGCCAAAGTGAGCAGATTTAGTGAGTCGATCCACCACTACCAGGATCGAAGAAACCCCACGTGACAGAGGCAGACCAACTATAAAATCCATGGTAAGCTCATTCCAGACTTGCTCCGGAATAGGCAGAGGTTGTAAAGGTCCAGTCGGTGCTTTGGTGAGGTATTTTGTTTGTTGGCAAACAACGCAAGAGGCCACATAATCTTCCACCATACGTCCATGTTTGGCCAATAAAAAATTGCTGCAAGTTTGACCAACGTCCTCTTTATGTCGGCATGACCTGCCACTTTGGAGGATTGAAAATCATGAAGGAGATCATTGATTAAAGAAGAATGTGGGCTAAGATAATATCGTGATTTGTAGAGCAAGACACCATTGTTGTGAGTGTAGTCGGATGAGAGACTCCATGCTTCCAGTTGTTCATGTAAACGACGAAGGTCATGGAACTTTAAATTTTCTTCTCGCAGCACACCCCAAAAATCGGGGGTGAGTCTGCTAGCTAACATCAGACAAACTGGTTGGTCATGAATTCTGAAGAGGGCATGAACGGCCTTGTTAACCGCGCCTAACTTGTACTCAATCTGGAAATCAAAGCCCAAAAGTTTGTGAACATATTTATGTTGGTTTGGGGTTAACACAACCTAATGAAATAACTCTTTGAGACTGATGATCAGTCCGACTGATGAATGAGTGCCCTTGGAGATACTGTCGCCATTTACGCACCACTTCGATGATACCGTGAAGTTCACGAATATAGGTGGATGCTTTATGCAATCTGGGACCAATTTTCTTACTAAAATAAGAAAATGGATGTTCATGTTGCATCAGTCTCTACGACGAAAACAACCTCAAAATTCGGTAAACACAAGACAGGGGCAGTGGTGAGTGCCATTTTGAGATTTTGAAAAGCATGACCCGCGCTATCCGTCCAGAGAAAATTATCTTTGCGTAATAAATATGTGAGAAGGGCTGCCACAGTAGCATAACCTTTGATAAAACGGCGATAGTAGCTTGCCAACCCCAGAAAGCCTCGAAGGTGATGCATTATTTTTGGGGTAGGCCATGAGATGATAGCAGCAACTTTAATTGGATCCACGCATACCCCTTCTTTAGTGATAATATGCCGCAAATATTTTGTGTAATCTTGGGAGAAAACACAATTAGATAGTAATCTGGATTTCATACATAATGGTCAAGCAAATTTAATTATAGATGCAGATGATGGTAACCTGTATTTCATCAATAATGGTCTAGCAATTAATTATAATCACTTAATTAAGGATTTAGCAAGACCACTTTGTGTGTATGCACATGTGGAACTGGATTTTCCACATCAATCCCAATTGACATGCAATAGTCATTAAAAGATTTGGATGTAAATTCCCCTGCATTATCAAGTCGGGTTTTTTTTTATTAAATAATCCGGAAATTGTGATCTCAAACGAATAAGTTGAGCAAGGAGATTTGCAAATGCAAAATTTCTAATCGATAAAAGACTGACGTGTGACCAACGTGTTGATGCATCAATGAGCACCATAAAGTATCGAAAGGGTCCACACGGAAGGGCAATTAGCTCACAAATATCTCATTGAATTCTTTCTAAAAATGCAAGAGATTCAAATCCAATTTTGTATAAAGATGGCCTGATAATTAATTTGCCAAGAGAACAAGCAATGCAAGATAAATCACTTGATTGTGGAATTTTGACATTATTAAATAAATGTCCAAATGAATTTTGAATAATTTTGTGCATCATGGTGCTGCCTGGATGACCTAAACGAACATGCCACAAGATAAAGGAATTATGGTCATTAATTTTAGATACCACATTTATCTCAATTGGATTGATATATGTATAAAGCATCTTTAATTATTAATTTTGTCCCTTTTGAGAGAATCACAGGCTATTCCAGAACCTTCAATGAGTTTAGCAACACCTGAAATTGTATTCACATTAGCATCAACTAATGTCATATGAGAAAAATAATCTATATATCTCAAAATGGTGTGCGTTGTGGCACTGTCTATTAAACATTGTTCAAAGTCACTTGGAGAAATTTCAGTTAACTCCATATCTTTGAAAAGATAAAAATGAACAAATATTAGTTCAATACAATGATATAAACAAGACTTTATTCATTAAAATGTACATAACTTTTACAATCGAAATAAGCACACCAAATAAAAATTACAATACAACAAACTTTTATAGTAGAATATATTACATAACAAAATAAATTCATTTTTTTTTATTTTTCACCCATAACGATGTCAGTATTCATCTCATTATCGTCCATATAGAAACTAGGCACATTAAATGTGGATATTGGTGGAACGTTTTTGTTGACGTAATTAGTTTCCACATTCTTTTCTTTTAGAGATGATTTATATAAGTCAACCAAATGTCTAGGTGTACGAGAATTATTTGCCCAATGTTTCGAGGTGCCTCATTTAAAACAAGTGACTTTGGCCTTTTCTGAAGATTTCATCGAGCCTTTTGTTTTATGGAGGTTTAGCTTTCCCTTGCCTTTGTAAAATGATCTACTACTATGTTTGTTTTTCCGGCTAGGTCCATTATAAAGACCAATACCACGACCCCGTTTGAAATGTCCACGAGCACCACTATGGGTTGCATTTGATTCATGTTTCGAACCATGGTTTTGTGGACCAAAACTAAAAGGGTTTCACCGGGGAAACAAACAGAGTAGTAGCTCATTTTACAAAGGCAAGGGAAAGCAAAACCCCCATCAAACAAAAGGTCCGACGAAATCTTCAGAAAAGGCCAAAATCACTTGTTTTAAATGTGGCACGTTGAGATATTGGGCAAATAAGTGTCGTACACCTAGACATTTGGTTGACTTATATAAATCATCTCTAAAAGGAAAGAATGCAGAAACTAATTAAGTAAACGAAAACGTTCCACCAATACCCACATTTAATGTGTCTGATTTCTATATGAGCGACAATGAGATGAACGCTAACATCGTTATAGTGGAAAATAATAAAAAAAATCAGTTTTGATGTTATTTGGAACCAGGCAGAATTGTAGTCGCTTATAGATTTTTAATCCTGAAATCATAAATTGAGTCAATCATATTGAGCTTTTGGTAAAAGGACATTTTGTTGATGGTCATACCTTTCTTGGAGATTATCCCATAATTCTTTAGAGTCATCTACCCGTAAATACTCAGACTTCAAACTTTCGTAAAGATAATGGCTTTTGCCTTATTTTGGGGAGTGGTTGAATTATTTTCAGCAATTGTGTTTTCAAGAGCATTAGCCCTATCAAACATCTGTTGGATTTATATCCTTCCAACCGAAGTGAACCTGAATCCAAACAGATTTACAGAACATAAGTTTCGATTTTCGAAATGGTTCACATTAATAGATGTATAAAGACCTTGAAAGCGAACAATGATTTGTCAAACCTGTGTAAAATGAAATAGTTTATGAGGAGATTAATTTCCCTTGCGACCAAAAAATGAACAATTATTTCCCACCTCTGAAATAAGGGGTAATAATAGTACTTTGAATAGAAAATACACATGAATTGTAGTAGTATGATAGTTAAACCCATACTCAAATGAAAAGAAGGAACAAACCTCACAACATAAATCAATCATTCATTCATTCAATTGATCAATCTCAGCTTTTAGCTGTTCAATCTTCAGCCCCATGGATCTCTGTACAGCCCCCTTTTCTTTCTCAGGCAGCTTCGCCAGCAGGCCTTCGTACAACTCCAGAACTTCGTTGACAGCATTGCGTGCACATTCAGCTTCCTCGTCGAAATACAGAGTTTCTTTAGATTCCATCGCCGACTCTATGTCCTCCCTAGCTTCTGCGAACTTGAGGTTGATCGTATCCACTTCTCTGTCTGTGTCGACGCTGTAGAGTCTCAGATTGGGAAGAACCTTCAAGGTCGCCGGATGAAGACAACGAAGAAGGCTTCTTCCGGGTTTCAACAGTGGGTTCGGCTCTGAAATGAAGGGTTGTTTGGGCGAGAACGAAGAATTAGGGTTTGCAGATGTCAGAAAATGGCGTCTAAGAACGGACTGGTAGAGACAGATTGAGGAGCGCCGGTACATTATTGATTATTCTCCGGTGATTGCTGAAAGAAATGGAGACGGGGACTGGAGAGAGCAGACGAAATGCCGAGTGCTCAGTGGTTGGGTATGTCGCTCTGTTTACCGGACACGGAGTCTCGAAGTCTTACGGCGTGCTTATATGTCTCATTTCTGGACCGAATGCAGTTTATTTAAATTTAGTTTATGAGTAAAATTAGGTTGTTTTTACTTTGGATCCAAATTTGATGGTCTCTTTTAGGATGTTTTTACTTGTACTTTAATTTATTGGTCTGGTCCGAACTGGTCTGGTCTGGTTTCTTTGTATTTTTATTACTATCTGATGGAGTATATGGCCCGGGAAACCCCGGCCCACAGACTCCTACTACTCCAGTAAAGACCCAACAGGCCCAGAAGGCCCAACAGGCCCAAATCACAACGCCCAGAGTACCAAGCAGCCCGCAATACGTACCAGGGGTGCCTTCGGCCCCCTGGCCGAAGGCTAAAACTCTCACAGAACGGGTTTCTCGAGCAAACTAAGAAACTGGGGGAAAAACGGCAGAAAACAGTAGCTCTCGTCACCTGGAGCCCTCGGCACTCAGGGGTCCTCGGCACTAAGAGCCCTCGGCTAGTCTTCTGCAGCCGAGGGCACCTCTCCCGACATGATATCCGCCTCACATGCGTACAGATCACCGTACCCTGTACAGACGTCCCATCCAACAGCCGCATTAAATGCGGCCACATGCGGCTGCCAACGCCAACCAGTTGAGGTGACCTCTCGGCCAATGGGCGCTTGACACGTGTACCTGTCCGGCATTTATTGCTACTATAAATAGCACCCCATTTTCCCATTTGTAACAACGCTGAAAACGCTCCACACTTTGCAATACACCTTCTCTCTATATTTACTTGCTCTGACTTCTCTCTTGTTACTTCCCGTAATAACCCCTCGGATAAGCTACCCCCCGGGTACACTATCCATCATTTGGTGCTCTCGTTGAGAGGTTTGAACACAATCAAGTGAGAAAAACCTCCCAAAAAACAACCAAACATTCATCCAAATCACAGAAAAAACAATCAGAAAATACACACAAAAATGGCTATTTCCGGAGATGACGGCAACTACTGGACTGTGCAGAAAAGGAGTTCCTCAGTCACCGTGAGCTGAAGAAGATGCCGCTGCCATGCGCTGAGGTGGATACTGCTGGCTCAGACCTTGCCACCGACGTTGGGAGATCGCCAGCGGGTCGTCGTCTTCGTTTCAGATCCGATCCGAAATTGTAGCAGCAGGCGTGTGTTATTGGCTGAAGTTTGCTTCGATAGCTCCAGACCTCGCTGCCGCCGGCCCAGATCTTGCCGCAATAGCTGCAGATCTCGTAGATGTTGTCGTTTCACTTTATAGCCGTCACTACCGAGGTCCATGCCAAAATCGAAGTTGGGACTCAGCTGACCGTAGGAAGCAGCCAAGTCTAACCAGTCCGGCGACAAGCAGATCGACCCCCTTCCTCACCGTTAACAACGCCACCAGCCCGCCGCTCATCTTCAGCGGTCCACCGTAGGCCGCTCCTCCACCAGGTCGGTTTCTATTCCAGTCTTCACCAACCACTCTGCCAACGCGGTCCGAGGGATTTTCCGACTAGGATTTCTTGATTTCATCATTAATGACGGTTGGGAGTTCAGGGAAGATGTATTTCAGCCGATATTGTGCTGGAGACTAGCCTCACCGGCCCCCTTGTTCCGCTGCAACTGCCTAAACTCCACGCATTACATGTATCTGGATTGGCAGAAGGGTGTTCACCTGCCTTTACTAAGAGGATCCGGTGCTACGGTCCTAAGCAGACCACGTCTGCTAGTTCGTGGCCAAATAATGGAGGGCCAATTTTACTTGCTTGGAGTCAACGTGGGGGGCCAAATATTGAAAGGCTGATTGGAGAGTTTTACCCAAATCAAAATTGGTGAGAGATCCAATCCACGTTCACGCACTCTCAACAGCTCGGCCTCTTTTTCAAAAGCTAAGTGGTCCTCTTTAATTTTTATATTTTTATATTATTTATATTTATTTAAGTCATTTCTTTTTATCGGGCGAATGTCAAACTATCATACAATTATGATCAAATGCCTAGTAGACTGTGACTTGAGACCCATCACTAGGATTTAAAGTCCTGACCAAGTCAGGCACAAAGCCCCGACCAAGTCGGGCATGAAGACCGGTCTTAGTCATTCCAAGAATGGCGACCGTTGCGTACGAATGGCTCACGCATCCACTCTACTAAGTATTTTATCATTACATCGACAATTCACATTTCCACTTTTTTCAAGTGATGAACTCCCGATCGGAAACATAAACCCCAAGGAAAAATTTTATATGCATTTTAAATGTGTAGGTACGAAAATGAGTTTACTCATTTTTAACCTCGTCTCCACTCGCCTCAAGGACTGGGGGACTGGGGGATTGAGAGGTCAGATTTTATGGATGAGCAGCAGATATCACGCATGAGCAGGAACGAGAGTTAAGTCAGATGAAGACAGGTTGAGCTACACAAAAGTAATTATGCCGGAGGGGGCCTATCTTTCTTGTTTCATGTTGGGGGCGTTAGGTGTACTCTTTTTCCCTTTATTAAGATTTTTTCCCACTGGGTTTTTCCCTAGTAAAGGTTTTTAACGAGGCACCTCCCCATCATGGACAAGGGTGGTGGTCCCCGGCCAGAGAGGAAGAAATCAAAGACAGAAGAACGTTGCAGATACAGTTTGGACTACTCCCTTTCGCCTCGAGTACTCTCGACTCATGGAGTGAGGGACTCCTGATGGAGTATATGGACTCCGACCCCCCGGTATGCCGACTACTGGGCCTGGACAGTGGCCCACACACGTTTAGCGGATTCATATTATTGTACATTATTATTAAGATGTTCTAGATTAGCTTTTTATATTATCAGTCCATTTATGTAACCGGGTCTGTCAGGCCCATATTAGAGGCCCAGACCCGGATTTTCCCTATGTATACTCCTTATAGGAGGCTTGTAAACCATAACAAATATTCATTCATTCTATACACTTTCATTATTTCTTCTCCATTTTTGTTCAATCTCTCTTGTTTATACAATATGGGTATCAATTATCCAACACTATCCAAGTGTGGTCTGGTCTGACCCGGTCTGATCTGGTTTAAGAGGAATTACAGTCCAATTAAAAATATCCTTAGTCTGGTCTGATTTTGTATGATATGAATTGGTCTAAACCGGTCTCGTCTGTTAAATATCTGGTCTTTGTATATTTTATAACTATCCAATTCTAGTTTGATTTGTTCTGATCTGATCTGATCTAATCCGATCGGATCAGATCTAAGGACTGAAAACAGTACAAATAAAAACAATATGGAAATCTATTTTTCAATTTAAAATCATACTAATACACAATTAACGGTACGGTAAAATGTTCAACTTTTGAATTCAACTTTTTAATATAACGTATGTAAATGACTTACCTTATGAGCTCGTTTGATGATCCTGTTTTTCGACTTATCAAGCTTATCAACTAATTTTTTCATCAAACATATGATTTTTGATTTCGCGTGCTCAATTGTGATAATAAAAAAAGTAAGGTTGAAGTTACTTTTCTAGCTGGATTGACTGAAGTTACTGTAGATGATCACTTTAGTTATTTTTCATGTAATTTTTCCTTAATTTATTAATAAAATATATTTTATTTTATTTTTCATAAATCAATAAAATCAGTCAATCCAGCCACTTCAGCCACAACTTTATAAATTTCATTATAATCAGTCGATTCAATCGATTTCAATGTTACTAAATAGGCTCTATATGAGTACTACATATCATTCAATCTTTAGAAAATTGCTCTAAATAAGAGCAAAAACGTTTTGAAATTCCAAAATAAGAGTATCATGTTTTGTATTCCCCGAATAAGAGTAATGTGCCAAGTTTGGGAAAAAATGACATTTTTAAAGCCTAATAATGCCAAACTTGGTAGAAATTTACTCATATTTAAGGAATAAAAAACATTATACTCCTATTTTGGAATTTCAAAACTTTTTTCTCTAATTTGGGAAATTCACCCTTCAATCTTTATGTTGTAAATTCAATTCTTTTTAAAATTCGCAGATTGTGTGCATATTTAGATATTTAAATGGAATTTAATCTGTAGTCATATTATCATGGTATATGAGTATATGACCATTTCCCATCTAATATGGGTCAAAATCTAATCCATAAGGCTAACCACAACTCTACTTTGTCAATAAAACAAATTTCCCACCGGTTTATACGTATTCAATCGGTCAATTCAGTTTTTACTGTAATCCAGCACCATCAATATATTCAGCCATCAAAGTTTTTCCTAATTAAAACCTTGCTTTTATTATTATACATTAATTTTTTTCTAAATATTTTTTTTGTGAATGATTATGATTTTAAAAGTCAAACATTCCGATGTAAAAAAAATAAATTTGAAGTTTAATTTTTTGTTATTAATATATACTTGTTTTTGAAAAGAATAACTCAAAGATGTAAGAAATTATTTTACCCATGAAGTCTTAGTTTTAGCAATTTAACAAAAATATTGAATATAAATCTCCAATTGATAAAAAATACATATTTTTATTTTATAACTTATATATATAATATTGGTGTCATACAAAAGATAATAAAAATTATGAATTTTGATATATTTTTTTATAAAAGGTGGATTACAAGTAAAAAAGTTATAGGGTATGTTTGGCAAATGGCTTATCAGCCAGCTTTTAGCTTGTTTGACCCATTTCAACTGTTTGATTAGTCAAAGAAGCTAATAATAATGTTTGGTAAATGACTTTTAAAATTAGCTTGTTGAGTTTGAAAAGCTGAAAAAATGGATTGTGGAAGAAGCTAAGGGGAGCAGCTTCTTCATTTGGTTGGTTCAATTTACACTTTATCAGCCATTTCGAAAGAGCCAATTTTAGCAAACAGTTATTTATAATCAGCCAACATAACCAGTCGGTCAAAACAGCTAACACAACCAGCTGTTTCGAAACAGCTGACACAACCAGCTACCAGCAACAGCTAACAACCATTTACCAAACAAGGCCATAATAGATTAAAGATATTTGGAGTTTTTTAATATTGCTAGACCTAGATTTCTAAAGCCATGAGCATAGTAAATGCGATAGTGTTTGTGCAGTAGACTTCTCTCTGCGTGAATGGGA